CTCCACAGCACCCAACAACAAGGGTTCTGACTGGCCTGCCGGCTGCCTTTTCGCACTGCAGGCACTTAGCTTTCTGCTCTCTCTAAAACACTAGCATCAGCCACCACTTATCTCTTACTTTGTATCTCCAAAATTCTATTGGTTTTCCTCATCTCCCTTTTTACTTTCCCTGTCCTTGTGATTTTTATTATTTATTTGCCATTTTATCCTTTTACTGTAACTTTAGTGAGGTTTAGGAAGCACTGGCTGTAGCTGGTTTGGGATATAACGCACCCACGTAAACAGCACACTCATGTAATTTAACATGCATGTAAAGCACACAGTGCACACAGGAAACTAACAGGGCTACCACCAGCTGCTCTAGATACATTTTATCAGTGAATGCTTTAGATGGCCCCAAGCAGAGCAGGTGTTTAGGAAACAGCACAGTGACCCTGAGGCTATTGCAGGAAGTATGAAATTCACTGTGATAAAGTATCATGCAATGTTGCCTTTAATGCAGACAGGGTGGGAGGAAGGGAGCCAGAGAAGCTTCTTGAAGAACTATGTAGTTATAATCACTTACCCTCTCCACTTTCCAAAAACTACATTACAGACTTCCAACTCCCACATCCATGGTCATGTGTGACAGCCACTTTCTTGCAAGAGACTCCACGGGGTAAACTGATTAGAGGCATCAGATGAGAAACCAGTGGCTGCTTTCTCATCCACAGTGGCCTGACATGACCTAGGCGCCGTAAACAGTTCCTGGAGAGTACTAAGAGTTTTAGACTGAGTTTTTGAAATAAGCCTAAGAATTTTACAAGTATTCTTTAAACTTTTTCTTTTACCCTAGGCAAAAAGCATCCATTTTACAACCTTTTTGCCATAGCCACTGCAAACTTCTCATTATGGTAAAATACACAGGGGAACTCTGTGGTCAACAACAAACAAACCAGCATATTAGTTATGCTTTCAAAACCAAACACAAAACTCACTGCCACTGACTTGATTCCGACTCATAGCAACCCCACTGGGTTTCCAAGGCAGTAAATCTTTACAGAAGCAGACTCCCCCGTCTTCCTTCTGTAGAGCGGCTGAGGGGTTTGAACTGTCAATCTCTGGTTAGCAGTCGAATGCCTTAGGCACTGCGCCACTAGAGCACCTTAGTTATGCTTTCAGGTGATGTCAATCCACAGTCAACCCAACCAATGTCTCCTCACCTCTAAGACAGCTCCCTCTTTGAAAAGTCAAATATAGGAAAGTAAAGCAAAGGTTTACCTGTTACAAAGAAGGTTTCATTTCTAGAAAACTAAACCTGTTTTTAAGTCAGCAGTTATTGTTCAGGCAGTCCAAACGTCAAGGAATTTCTAAGACACCTGGCTGAGCAGAGGCT